TTTTTCTTTTATTAATAAATTATGTTCGTCGAATTTCGCTCTCATTTCCGCCGCATCTTTTGCTCTCGTCTCCACCTCCTCCGCATGTCTTGCAGCGCGCCTCGCTTTGTCGCGTCCGGGCGGTCGTCGTGGTGGGGATATCTCTTGGATATCATCCGGGATCTCATCGTCATCGGCGTTTAGGTCGATGTTAGTCCGTGCGTCCGACACATCGACCAAACTAGAATTGCGAGACCTTTTGGATTGAACCTCCGACGATGTAGGCGTTTTATTCCACTTTGGATCCGCTCGCAACAATTCTCATGATTTTTCAAAGTCGAAAACATGACCCATTTCGACCCGATATTGTTCCTTAGCAGCTTTGAACAAATCAAAGTCGTTGGTTCCACTTTGTTGTTGCGCCGCAATCCGGTTGTAAATATCGTTGAATTTGTTGCACCGCTTACTTATCATACCCCATTTGCTGCTCAATATGTCGTTGTTGCGATATGGATTTTTTTTAAAAGAGCGTGAAACTTGTCGAGCACCGCCCCCCAATAAGCTCATTTTTTCATTCCATTTCCGCGAAGTTCGTCCTTTGAAGTAGCACACCAATCCTTCGTCAAAGCGTATTCCTCCTCTGGTGTCCACCATTGTGGAACGTCTGCATTTTCAGATTCCACCGTTATTGATTTCCCTTTTGATTTTCCTTTCCCTTTCCCTTTCCTACTACTTCCTGCTTCCACTTGAACTGTTGGTTATGTTGTAGGTGACGGTTGATTGGTTGTTTGTTGCATCGAACCAAAAGTAGAGAAAAGATTTTGTTGTAAATTTGGGTTTTGACCAAATTGATTTTATTGAACGTAAGGTGAGTTGGGAAATTGCAGTGGTGGTGAAGCGGGATTGAAAGCGGCACCTTGGTATGGTATTTGTGGTGAACCTTGAGACGACAAAAGGTTAAAATAATTTCCGTACCCCGCAAATCCGAGAGGCGAGGTTGTGTTTGGGTTTGATGATGGAGGGGGGTTGTTTGGGTTTTGCTCCATTTTTTGAATTAAAGATATAGATATAGAGAGAATGAGTGAAAATGTGTATAAAGATATAGAGAGAATGAGATAAAAATGTGTATAAAGATATAAAAATTGAAATAAAGTGTATGTATATATATAAATGGTAAAAAAGTAATATATATATGTGTATATATATATATATATATATATATATATATATATATATATATATATATATATTTGAAATGGACCGTTATTAAACGGTAAAAAAATGTGCAACGTATATTTTTTTTGGCGTTACAACTCGTTTCCAAGGCAACGAGTTCCGGGCGACGAGAAGCAATGGCTAGGGGGGGGGGGGGTGTTCACAACGTTATGACGGTGTCGCGGAGTGCCACGTGGGTCTCGTCGCTTCTCGTCGAGGCCCATACCGACTCGTCTAAGTGAATGCACAAATACGATGCTTACAACAAATTCGAAAAATAAGCATTAACTTTCCAAATGAAATATTTATTCGAAAAAAATATTTCATGAATGAAAAAATTACTTATATTATTGATATTGGAAGTAAGAAGTAGAGTATGTGAAATCATTTCAAAATCAAAGCATGAAATTAGGTTTAGGGACATGTACTCCCAGTATAACTCACCTTAAGTCCTAAACCTAGTTTATAACTCACATTAACCCATTCTAAACATTGCATAACATTAAGGAGGTACTAAAGAACTTGTAGAAACGATTTAGGCTAAACTAGGCTTAGTTGAAATATTCTCATGGACCAAAAGGGCACATAATCCATGTGAAATTTTCCTTGGCATACACAGGGTAAGTATGATTCCCTGGCCATGCCAATTTGTAAATTTTTACTCCTTTGGGCAATGTGCTTTGATTTATTTGCCACAAACCCTCTGTAGGCTTTCCTAATGACTTCAATGAATGAAATAAGTCATTGTAACTTATTTTACTAATCAAATACATCTTATTTTATTAATGTATCAATGATTAAAAGTCTTAAAGTTTCAAAGTTTAAATGAGCTTGATATTAATCATCAAACTTCGAGTTTTCCTTTAAGCTTTATTTAACCTCATAAATTCGTTTAGGTTGATATTAATTATAATAATATACTCAAATGACATCAAAACCATGATATTAACCTTATAAAAAACCTAACTATACAAGGATTTATGACTCAATTAAGATGATATAGATTTGAGCAACAAAAACTTTATTAAGTTTCAAAGACATCTTATAAGCTCTAAAAACTCACTAAACCTTTTATAAATCTATATCATCATCCAATGAGTTCCAATCTGACTTACTGAATCAATATTTAAAGTAGGTCATAAGTAAATCTTGAATTACCATTCAAGTTAAGTCTAACCTGAAATCTTCAAATTAGTTATATAGGTGTGATTGCTAACATATGGCAGATCTCTTAGCTCACATAAAATATAGAAACATAAAATTAAGCATAGAAACAATATCAATTCATTAGCATAACTTAAAATTTAAATCTGCACCATTGTTAGAGTTTTGGAGCATGAACAACTCATTATGCTCAAAATGAATATATAAATGCCAAGAATAGAAGTAGATTAGCAATAAAAAGCTTAGAACTAACTTAAAACTCTAATGAAACATTTCTAACATGTTGATTTTGGATTTTAGAGATTCACTTTAAACCTTAACTTCAAATCTAAGATACGTGCACAAGAGAGATTACCATATCCTTTTGCCTACTATGATCAACAACAATATACGTTGATCCTTGTAATATCATTGTTTTTTTTTTTTTTTTTTTTCATTTTTTTTACCGCTAAAAGTGTACATTTTTGTTAGGGTGTTAATGGTGCATCACCCGAACCATCTAAATTATATCATGCAGATTCAACAATATGAGTGAGAAAATACTTTAACCAACATTATTCATTAATCAGTAAATGTGTTTTACTCAAACTCTTAGAAGAAGATGTTTCATTTTATTTAACCAAATTAATTTGGTCAGGGTAAGTAGGCTTTAATCGCTGAACCATTGCAACCACATTCTCTTCTTTCTTTTTAGTGGTTCCGATTCTTCTTGCTCTTTAGTGCCTTTGAGCTTCCTATCTCTTTAAAACATTTTAGGTCACATCCTTAGCAAAAGTTGTGAGGGATGATAAAAGTAGACAAAACAAATTGTTTGTAAAGACAACATGGACAACATACAATTTATCTTAATCATTTGAGCGTTTCACTCTCAATTCCTTATAGCGCCTGTGATAATCATGTTAACGGAAGTCGAGTTCCAGGACAGATGGGGTATGTTTCATTAACATGATATTCTTGTTAGTCGGTTCCATCCTACATGTAGAAAAAAAATACTAGTGGTGGCTAGATTGTATTCCTTAAAATATTTCATCATCACTTCAATAGTTATAATAAAGTTCTTACAATTTAACCCTAAGATATTTTATATCTTGAAACATATTCATAATTATGTCGTTATCGATAATTTTTAAGACATTTTTTCAATATGTACTTAAATTTCAATTTTTTGTTCAATATGCGACACTAAACTGTCACTGAAATATATGACAATAAAATATCATTCAAAAATAGGACATTCTTGATTTTGAACTTGAGAAATGAAATTGAATGTTACAAATTATCAACGTAATAACTATTATAAATATTTTGTTATCAACCGGTGCCGCGAGAAGCGAGCTACGCCGTTTCTATTTCCCTTCTTTCTTTTTTACAATATTAAATGGATTGGGCTATTGATTAATGAGAGCGGATTAAGATATCGGGCTACTCTTAAGTAGGTCCTTTAATAATATTAAGGTAGTTCTTAATTTTTTATTTAATTAATACATTGCTTTATAAAAAGTAGGTCCTAGGACCTACTTTCTTTCTTACTAGCTACCTGCAGACATGCCTGAAGACAGCTTCAAGAGTTCGATGAACCCATCCAATATTATTTAGGATTATATGATCTATTTAAACATTTTTTTTTTATAAACTTTGATGTATAACATTTTCATATGTTATCTTTGAAAATATATAGTCCGATTTATTTCAGCACTGATGGCATATCACTTAGGTGGTTGAAACGACAAACATAATAGGACATATGATGTATCGGGGAGTCTAGACACTTCCATAAGAAGCATGTTCTTGCCAGCCAGGATCCCACCCCCACAATATTTGCATCGACAACATTATATTCCTTTCTATCTTTAAACTCCCATTATCCAATTTATAATATATTTTTTAAGGATTTATATATTGGAATTTCTATGTTCATTAATATTAATTATTATCTAAAATATAAGACGACTTATAGGTAAGTAACTACCTTCATAATCGGAACCATGCTTTTGAAAGTGTAATTTTAAAATAAATATGTTATTATTTACATGAAATTTATTGTTTATAATGTTTACATATTATGTAAAGTATTTATACATTATCATTTCATTTAATATAATATTTAAACACACTTAAAAGATGGCAATACAAGAAATTAAATTTTCATGTGGTAGATGCAACTCAAGAACTAGTTTGGTTACATTGGCTTTTGACTGACATGCTAACCCCCAGTCCCTTTCTAGGTCGTTATTTTGTGATAACAATAATGCTATTCAAATTGTCAACAAAGTTGTTTTCCATGAGCTTATGAAACATTTTGAGACTGACTGGAACTTTGTCTGTGAAAACCTTGTTCATAAATCTGTTCTCCTTCTTCTAATATCCAAGTCCGGATCAACATGCTCACATGTTTACTAAGACATATTTCCTTTTTTGTTTTCGGTTCTTAGTTTCCAACTCAAGCTGGATCATACGTCCCAATACCATACTCATTTAACATATAATATTTTATGTCTATTTCATTTTCTTTAACATGTTATGAATCCATTAATTTATGTGGTTATGTTGATAAAGGATACGTAACGATTTTTATCCACTTATCTCGTTTCATATTTAACTAGTTTCTTAAATTTAGGCATGACAAACATAATCAAATTAATAGTAAAATGATAAAAGAATAGTCATGTGTCATGTCATTGCCATTAAAAGGCAACAATTTCACATATAAAAAAATAGGTTTTGTATGGACATGTATGCAATAAAACAAAATTATCAATTATGATAATTATTAAAAATTAATTTTATTATTATTATATTTGAAAACTTTCATTATATAAAGGGGCTTTAAGTGTCATTTGCAAAGTGCCACTCCCAATTCTCCTCATCTCTTCTTCACTCTCTCAGTTTCTTTAATATAACTATTTAATAATATTCCAAAATGCCAGGAATTGCATTTGGTCGTTTCGATGACTCCTTTAGCTTTGGGTCCATCAAAGCCTACATTGCAGAGTTCATCTCCACCCTCCTCTTTGTCTTCGCCGGCGTCGGCTCCGCCATCGCATACGGTAGCCAATCACTGAATCACATACCTTTTAATTATTTAATCAACAAAACCCTTTATTAATTTCCCATGCAAATTCACGTTGCTAGCTGTACCTACGTGATAATCTTCTTGACTTTTATGCAGGCAAGTTGACGGCAGACGCCGCCCTAGATCCGGCGGGTCTTGTTGCAGTGGCAGTTTGCCATGGATTTGCACTCTTCGTAGCCGTTGCTATCGCCGCTAACATCTCCGGAGGCCACGTCAACCCAGCTGTCACCTTCGGATTGGCTGTTGGTGGTCAGATCACCATCCTAACCGGAATCATTTACTGGATTGCACAACTAGTTGGCTCCGTCGCCGCATGCTACCTTCTCAGTTTCGTCACCGGAGGACTGGTAAGCAAGAAGCTTTAAAATTAACCGATGATCATCAGAATATATCATTGACCCATAAAAAAAATTTCTTTCGGTTTTGGTGAATATGTATATAAATATATAATCATGAACAATAATATTAAAATACAACCAATGTTTTTAAGCAAAACGATTTGGGAGGTTTTAATGATTTTAGGCTATGTTTTAGTGTTAGTGACTTAGTGTTGTATCACTATTATTATTCTTTTAAGATGATAAAGTAGGGTCACAATTTTTCTCATTCTACTTTTTTAACACTACAAGACACTATAATTTTTATTTTTTATGGTATGTACGTGTATACAAATAAACGTTACTTGTCTGCCCATAACTTTCTGAAAAATACAACTCAACATACTTGTTTGTCATAAATCAGTTAGAATTCATTATTCATAACCATGTGCTGTTGTACATCTTGGATATGTACTTATTTTATACCTTGTAAATCTTGGATATGTACTTATTTTATACCTTGTGATTTTTTCAGGCAGTGCCTATACATGGTGTTGCTGCCGGAGTTGGAGCAATTCAAGGAGTTGTGATGGAGATAATTATCACATTTGCATTGGTTTACACAGTATACGCCACCGCATGTGATCCAAAGAAGGGCTCCTTGGGAACAATTGCACCCATGGCCATTGGATTCATTGTGGGTGCCAACATTTTGGCAGCCGGTGCATTCTCTGGTGGATCAATGAACCCTGCCAGATCTTTTGGACCTGCGGTGGCTAGTGGAGATTTCTCCGGCCACTGGATCTACTGGGTTGGACCACTTATCGGAGGTGGCCTAGCGGGACTCATTTACCCTAACGTGTTCATGAATCACGACCATGCTCCCCTCTCAAGCGAGTTTTAAATTTTTTGTGAATCATTTTAATTTGTGATTGTAATAAAAGGAAGGAAAACAATTTATTTGTTTTTCTTTCTTTTCATCTTATTTTATTTATAAGGAGTTCATTGAATTTGGTTCTGTTTTATTTCATTAATTATGTGTGAATTGTGATTGAAGCTTTTATGTTTGATGTTGAAAGATGAGGTGAAGTTGGTAGGAAGTGATTGTATTTGTGGATAAAGTAGAGGTGGTCCCTCTACCTTATTGGGCCTTCTTTTTTATTCTTTTCATTGTGGTCTGTAGATTAATAGTGGGTGGGCCCATTTTCGTTCAATCAATGCACGTGATTTATGATCTCATATACGACATGATCAATTGACCACTCACATCAAACTTAGTACGACTTGGTGTCTCGTTCATTTGCAAATTTATTAAGGTTTAATGTGTTTTTTCGTGTATATGATCATGGTATTTTAGGTGTGAAATGTTTTATAAACGTGCCACATCCATTCTTTTAAAAGGGCAAATAATTTATTGTCACGTAGATGAGTTATTTTGTATAAATTTCGTGGGTCAAGGCGCCCTAATATTTCTATATCATGGTGCCAACAAAAATACAATTTTCTTGAAAAAGTGACTATAATGTATCAAGCTAAACTTTTGCAATTGTCTTATATAGAAAATATTGGAAATATCTTCATAAAAATATATATATATATATATATATATATATATATATATATATATATATATATATATATATATATATATATAGCGGCGCAGCTGAAAATTTTTATATGGGGATACAAACATTATCAATATATATTCTATGTGGTTATCATATCTGGGGTATTAAAAAACATGATATAATTTCTTTAGCTAAAACAATTTTTTTTGAGATGTTGTAGTACCCCTAACGTCCCATATAGTTCCGCCACTATATATATATATATATATATATATATATATATATATATATATATATATATATATATATATATATATATATAGTCATGATCAAATAAGAAGGAAATATTTGGTAGCAAGGTAAGAAGTTTTTTTTCTACATATTTTTTTCGCGAACAAATAAAATGAATCATTAGATGATTCATTTGTAAGATAATTCACAAGAAAAAATTCTCAAAAAAAAATATCTCAATGATTCATTTATATAATGATTTTGTTGTTATTCACTAAAATTGTCATAAAATTGATTTTTTTTCTTAATTTACTTAAAAATGAATTATAAAGATGTTTTTTTGAGAATTTTTTCTTGTGAATCATCTTACAAATGAATCATCTAGTGATTCATTTTTTTTGTTCGTCAAAAAAATATGTAGAAATTTTTTTTTTACCGGATCTATAACCTATATATATATATATATATATATATATATATATATATATATATATATATATATATATATAGATTATAATGTTGATGATATTTATTGTGTGGTCGTATAAGGATAATTCTGGACCAATAGATGAAAAAAATGAAGGACTATTATATGATAGTCTATGATATTACAATGGACTAACATATAACATATAATCATACAAAAATTTCAAAATATGGTATTTTAGTCACTTAAAATAGATTTAAAACAGAAAATTTCAAATTTTAAGGGATAATTAATTTTTATTTTAAAAATCCTTAAATTTCAACTCTAACATAATGTTTAATCATAATTGATTCTATTTTATTAGAATTATATACAGTTAGAATGATATTCAATGAGAATGTCAACCATAAAATAATAAAGAGTCTTGAATCTTGAAATTTTAAGGATTTGTTCAGTATCACATCATTCTTCATTCATTCTGTAAGAATAAGTTAAATAACATAGCATTTAAATGATACAAATTTTAATGTAAAATATATTCTTGCGAATCTATTTGCGCTTTTATTAAAATGAACTTAAAATACAATTAAAAACTAAAATACATCAAAAGAATAAAAATTCTTAAAAACACTCTTTAAATTCTTGAAAAATCCCCTCTCATTCTTAGGTCGTATCCAACATGTATAAGCAGAAAAACAAAGCTCTGTTTTTAAAATAATACTTTTTCATTGACCTGCAAAATAGAATAATAGACCCATCATTTTTGGTTCACCATCATTGACCTGCAAAATAGAATAAAGGAGGAAGGAATGGAAACAATACTTTTTCATTGACCTGCAAAGTTGTAGATCCAGGAAGTTTGCTTCATCATCTTTTTTTTTTTTCTGGTAATCAAGTTCTCACCTTGACTTCTAGTTTGATAGATCTCTTTATGTCCCTTTTTATGGAGTTTATGGTCTAAGAAGGATGTCTTGTGGAATTTGGACGTCCCCAAGCTAGATCCTTCCAGATTTAGAGGTGTTCAGAGTAGTAGAGGCATAAAGGTGGAAGCTTTATGCCATTATACCTCTTCATGCAAAGTTTAAGGAGTTGTTTTGGCCTTTTGAGCAAAAAGGGCCATGCATGGGTACAAAGCTAGTTGAAAATCGTTTGAATAATCGCCTGAATAATGTTGGGCAAAAAGGGCCATGCATGGGTACAAAGCTAGTGGCTTTATGTGATATCACGACCCTAGGAGGCCAGATCTGGGTCTTGGATGCCTTAAGCTAGTTGAAAATCGTCTGAATAATGTTGGGCATAAGAGACTCGGTGATTCAGTTGTGGGACTCGGTGAGTCCGACCAATTTATGCCCCAAACCCTTCTGTTGAGGGTATGAGTGAGCTTGGAAAGGGACTCAGTCGGCCCGAGTCCATAATGGTCATGAAGTTCATCGTACTCGCCAAGTTCAAGGAAGAACTCGGCGAGTCCAAGGCAATCTCCTTAGTTATGAAGATGGACTTGACGAATTGTTCATACAACTCGTCGAGTCATAGACTAGACACATTTATATGTGGATGATGAACTCGACGAGTCGGATGAAGTTGGTCCTGATTGTGTGGTTGAAGGAGAAACCGTCGAGTATTGCTAGACTCGAGTGAATTCGGGGTTGTATGGGGTTAGAAGAGTATGTGTAACAACCCGTTATTTCAAGTCAGTAAAAATCGAGTCCTGTAACCTCTTTGAGAAAGGAAATAGAATATCATCGAAAAATGAAGTATTCAAAAACTCTATTTGGAGTACACTATGTGGTAGTTATCGACTTAAGGTTTCCAAACATATAAATAACACAAAAATCCGAGTTATAACGAAGAAGTTATGCTCATTCTAAGTTTTCCGACAAAAACCAGCAATGCGAAGTTGCGTAAAAACGCAAAGTTTCAATAAAACACTTTCCGACCTTAGGTGTCTAAATGAAAGTCGTAGATATCGTTAAACTACAAACATGCATAAAAAGAACGCTCAAATCGGACATCGTATGAATAAGTTATGAATTTTTAAAGAAATTCCTTAATCACGTCATTTTAATAAATAAATAATAAAAATAATTCCGGAATTTGCCAACGAAATCTAAATGAAAGTTGTAGATCGTAGTCTCACCTTCACGGGGATATAAAGAACGTCAAAAATGGAGTTCGTATGAAGGAGATATGAATTTTCGAAGTTTGATAATTAATTTATATATATTTTTTTATAAAACTTCGGTATTATCCAAAGGGGTGTCAGCGTCCTCATCCGAGGTACGCGCTGCGTACTCCTGTACGCCCCGCGTACCCGAGGAACTTGGCCTCAAACCGTCCACGTCGCCCTATGCGAGGCACCCGACCCGACCCGTCCCATCCGACCCGACTGCCTGAGCCGTCCCATCCGAGGCCGAGGCAGTCGAGGCTTCGGTCACGCATGACGTACGCGTACGCGCTGCGTACAGCTACGCCCCGCGTACGTGGCCTCTCAGGCCCCCCTATAAATAGCATGCGAGGGTTCCCGGGAAAATGGCCCATTCTCTCTCCTTTTTCTTGCGTTTTACCTCGTTTTCCGTGCTCGCACTACCCCGAAGCCCTGGTCATTTTGTGCAAGTCCCGAAGGTCGATTTTTCTCCCGAGGAATCCCGAGATTTCCGAGGAAAATCCATTTCCAGACGAAACTTGCCCGGTTTTCCATCTTGCTATCTTCAAACTTTCAAGTGAGTTCATACCCCTTTCAAACACACTTTAAATACATTTTAAATGCTTTTATACTCTTTTAGGGGGGGGATACAAGTAAACATACGGTTATTATCGTGTATTTTATAAAGTTTCACTTCACTTGTTTTACCGAATAAATCACTTGGAACTCATTACTATTATGGAAAACTCTTGTCATACTTTGCGTGCATCAGACATTATACAAAGTATATAATGATTTCAAAGTAACTTTCGTTGTTAAGTTGTTTTATACATTCTAAAAACTTATGATTTTGCTTTGTCAAACATTGTGAAAAAGGGATAAACTTTGCATAGAAAACTATCACTTTAATATGGGCTTAATTGAGAATCCATGAGACGTGTATATCTTCAAACGTTACTTTTCTTTATTAGAAAGTAATGATGCAAGTCCTGTCTATAACCAGAGTCTCTCGTTCGGAGAACGTGTCAAATGTGTATAGATCTATACGGGAAGTCATGATCCCGCGCCCTGACTGTTAGCTACAGTCCGTCTTTTGGGGTGACAGTTGTCATAACGCTGCGACGCCTGAAGAACGTCGTTACAGGCATATTATGTTTAGTATGGTTATAAAACTCATCGGATATACAATTATTATGGTATTATGCTTTTATGAACGACTAGCCATTAAAACTATTCTTCATCTAATAAATGCGATCTTCGTATAGTTTTACTATATAAAACTATGACACAACTTTTGAGAACGTCGGTTTCTTGCGATTTTCGGTCTTAGAGACTGCCAATTATATTAAAGAAAATAAGGATTTCTCCTGCATACAAACCAAACAACTAATAGGAAAATAAGGGATTTTCCTGGTGCAATTATTTACAACTTATAACACGAACATTTTTATGCATTTCATACTTTTATAAGAAAATAAAGGTTTTCTTGGAAAACACAACAACTCGTATCTCAACCATTAGGGAAAATATGAGATTTTCTGGATCTAATACATTCACTTTCCACACACAACAAATCACAACTCTTTACATTTGAAATGCTGCGTTTTCTGGAAAATATACACCCATTTTGGAATGGCATCCAATTTTTCTAAACTACTTATGAACTCACCAACTTAATTGTTGACACTTTTTCTTTGAAATAACTTGTATTCTTAGGGAACCGCTAAGCAGGTTTGGGAATCAACTTTTGGGATTAACGCGCTGGCGTTAATTACTTCTTTTGGATGATGTTTATGTATTTATCTTTTGAACATGTAATGAATACAATTATGTAAACATCTTGGAAACTT